AGTATCTTGAAATTATTTATATCCCTACAATCTGTACAACCTCTACCTATCTATAACCTTTATCAAAATAATGACTTAATATCTGAAAATAATGAGAAACTTTATCAAAAAAATGACTTGATATCTCAAAATAATGAGAAACATTATCAAATGAGTTACAGAATTCTTTTTTACCGTCACATTGGTGGAAATGGGCTTTTAGAGGGTTAAGTTAGAGACATTTTCCATGAAGAAATGTCAGATTTTTTCCCTTTTTGTCACTGATGGAGACCGTAGAACAACAATAATTTAATCTTTATCCTGTTTTTAAGTTGGCTTTTTCACAGCAATTTTTGAGAGACATTTGAGAAAAAAAGAAGAGAAACCACAGTTTTTCTAGTCCTCTTTTTGTGATGAGCTAAGTGGCATTTTCACAAAGTGGCATTTTTCTCGCCTGCGCCTCTTTGGTGCTGCAGTGACTCACTGTGAAGTCGACTGCAGCAAGCGAGCGAGCGAGTGAGTGCGAGGAGAGGCACAGTTCGGGATGTGTCAGGACTGATCAAGCAGTACACGGCGCTCTCGGTGTAAAGACTAACCAGGTTGGTCAAAAGCACAGGAATAAAACATGCAGCTGTGTTCTCTGCTCTTTAACAAGCACTGTGAGTCCAAAAGCTTTTGCTTTGAATGGCAGACACGATAGGCAACATTAGTTAAATATAAACCCCCTAACAGGAAGTACAAGCACAGCTGTTATCAGACCCAGACTTTCATTTATCTGCTTCTTAAACTCTCTGATTTGATTCAAATATGCATGAATGAGACATTTTCTTTTCCAGGATAAACAGTTACAATGAGCATTTTTGTTGTGATTAGTTGGTTTCAAATACAATTGCTTATTACAGTCTAATCTAACCAACAATGTCAGTATTGGTGAAATCTAATCTAAATCTCTATAAGACACAAATTTATACCATGAACGTGCATTTATTCATCCAAATTACCAAAACCTGGCTACCTCCTCTGCCCTGTTTAGCCTTTGTGAAACCTAATTGTGAGGCCTTATTGATTTTAAAAGGATGTAATAAAACCTCAATATATACACAGTAGTAGTTATGTGTAAGTTATTTAAGAGCTGAAGTAAAAAAAGACACTGAAGACCTGAACTCAAGCTACATTCACAGAGCCTTCACTCTCTGATAAACAGCTAATAGAGCAATGACGCAATGAAAAAACACTGAATTTGTCAAAAAAAGAAGCTTATCAATGTATTATTATTAAAACAAAACATGATACAGACAGATTATTGTGTAAAAGGTTTCTAAAAACATCAAGAAAACTGATCTGCTTTTTGTGTAAAACATCCTCCTGATGAAGAAGTTTTGAGAACTTCAAGGTTTCTTTTTGGGTGTTGAGATTGGAAATAATAAAAAGATCTGAGGATAAACATCCAAGTTAGATATCACAGTATATATTATATACTATATAGAGCGTGTGTGATGGTGTTCATTGGAAAGTCTGAGGACATGGAAGCTGTCAGCACTTTCCTCGGAGATCCTTCACTTCTTCTCGGTTCTCCCTAAACTCCTTTTAACCCGCCGTGCTTTTTTGGGTCGCACGCTAAACACCCCGAGGCTGTCATCTTAGTGCATTTTTTTTGCTGAGGATGAAAGAACTTAAATCGCTTTCATTTTTCCTCCTCCTACTCCTCTTCCTCCTCGTCCCCATTTTCCTCCTTTCTGACCTCCTTAAGTGTCAGTTGGTCGTAATGAAACTTTAAATTCTCGCTGATATTAAGTCCTTTTTTGCTCCCGAAGAGCCCGAGTGGACAAGGTCACGAGCATTGACAAAGTCACTAACTGTAATCTGGTTTGTGGATTTTCCAGCGAGCCAGCGTGCACTTTCCCCCCCGCAGA